GTTTAAAAAACAAAAATGATTTTTAAACAACAATAACAGATATATTCAGGGTGTAATTATAAAGTGATGTATACAATTTAAAAAATGTATTTAAAATATATTTCTTTATATTTATATTCATATTTACATTTATTTTTATTTTATTTTCAAAATTCATATATTTATTCATATTTATTTAATTATAGGAAAATGTCATATATATATACATGATCAAAGGTAAAATGTTGATTTGATGAAGTCAATGAAAAGTTGAAAAGCAAATGATATATTATACTGTATAACAAAAAACCAAGCCTATGTATTAAAAACATTCAATAAAGAAATACTATATTAATTTTTTTCAATTTGGAACTAAATTTCCTTCCCTCCGATATTAATATTTGTTTTTCAAATTTGCGTAATGATCTTCAAGCCAATAAAATTTAATTTTTGCGTGATATCTAGAGGGGAGATCGTCACATAATTTAGCCAATGAAATCAAATGTCCACTATGCTGGTTTTAATACAGTAACTTTTCATATTGTTACTAGTTTCTTTCATCCTACTACCAAACACAGATGATTGAGGAACCTTGGTTGTGTCAAAAGTTAGATTCATTACAAATTCAAGAACTTTTTGGAATCACACCAGATATGCAAGCATTACTTGATAAAGAACTTCAAGATTATCTATCTGTTATTTTAGCTGATGCATGCAGAGAAAAAAATAGTGAAATAGATCTTAATTTTAAAGAGTTCCACTATAGGCAAACAAAAAAGGTGTATTAAATGTGGAATAAAGGAAATTGAAGATTTAAAGTGTAAATGTCCTCAATGTAATAAAAACTTTCTACACTCACTGAGACCCAACAAGAAAGTCAAGAAGATAATCAATTAATCTTTGTAACAAATACCACCAAACCTTTAAAATTCAAATTATATCCAAATAATACCAATATCTCTAATGACACAATAAATACAATTAGCATAACTCAAAAAGCATTACCTCAGGATGGTGACAAGGTGCCTGACAGTTCTGTTCTGGTCCCTTTTCTATTAAATTCCAATTCAACTGATAATGTTTTAAAGTTTTAGATCACATTCAAGAAATTAGTGGTATCAACAGAGGTGAAAGAAAATGGATTGCAGTGGCTTATTATGATGTTCCATTCAATTATGCACAAAAAATTAAGAATGATTACCAAGAATTCTCTTGATACCTGGACCACTTCATGAAGAAATGAATTTTCTATCATCAGGAATTTTTTCCATATAAAATCCACCAAGAAATCCACATAGAACCATCATGGAAACCTAAATAGTACCAATATTTTCCAAATACCCTGTGCCAAAAGATGTGAAGTGGATCCACAGGATTTTAAGTCATTACATGTGGATTGAACAGTTTTTTATTGAGAAATCATGTAAAATACTATAGAGAAATCATACTAAATACTACATTGATTTTAACATGTGATATAATATAGCATGGTGGATAGGGATGGGTTGGTTTCGCTAATAAACGGTTTGAACTCGGTTTTGAAACCAACCCCTGGTTTTTTTTTGGTTTGGTTTTTGGAACCGTTCAAACCGTTCAAACCGGTTACACATGATCAACATGTGACACAAATAGTTTATTAAAATTTAATTTATTTAAAAATATCGTTAAATATAAATGATAAGAATAATATTATATATCTATCCTATATAAGTATAAAAAATTTGTATTTTAATAATCTCCTATTTTATTAATAATCCAGCTTTTCATACATAAACATGCTCTTGCAGTTTCTGGCAACAAACGATTTCGAGTTTTACTAATTGTATTTCCAGCAACTGAGAATGCCTGTTCTGATGCAACACTAGTTGCTTGAATGGTAAGATAATCTTGCGCCATATTACTTACAATTGGGTATTCTTTGGCATGTGCCTGCCACCATAATAGAGGCTCTGTTTCTTCATCTATTGGTAATGCAAGATAACGATTTAATTCTGATATTAAAGGTGCTGAAGCAATTTGTGGTGTTGGGTTACGAAGAAGTTGT